TCCCTACCGAATGTGCTGTACCTTGATTCGGTGTCTAGCAACCGTCTAGAGAAAAATGCTAAGGGTTCCCAGGAGTTGTTAACCCATTGTTGTAAGACTCCTCCGATTGCCGAGTCGGATGCGTCTACTGCGATGCTAATGGGTGCTCGGGTGTCCTGATGTGCGAGCATTGTTGCTTTAGCAATCAGTTCCTTAACTGTGGAGAATGCTTTTCGTGCGGTGTCGTCCAAATTAATGGATTTCGCATTTCCACGAAGTTGGTCGGTCAGAGGTTTCATAAGTAATGCGCATTTCGGTATGAAACGTCTATAGAAACTTACCAGGCCGTTGAACGTGCGTAATTGCTTGACGGTGGTCGGTTCTGGGTAATCCAGAATGGCCGCCACTTTGGTTCTAAGGGGTCGGATACCTTGAGCATCGATAGTGTGTCCCAGAAAGTCTAACGAGTCGGTTCCAAATTGGCATTTCTGAACGTTTACAGTTATGCCATGTTTTTGTAATCGTTCGAAAACAAGGTCCAGATGCTTGAGATGTGTTTCTCTGTCCGGACTTGCGATTAGACAGTCGTCAACATACGCGTGTACGAAGTTGAGACCTCGAAAAACGTCGTCTATGAATCTTTGGAATGTTTGAGCAGCATTCCTTAGACCGAAAGGCATTCGCAAAAATTCATAGAGTCCGAAGGGAGTTATGATAGCTGTTTTCGGTATGTCGTCAGTAGCCATAGGGATTTGGTTATACGCTTTAACCAAGTCGATTTTCGAAAAGACAGTTGTACCTTTCAAGGTAGCTGTCAAATCGTGAATGTGAGGCAACGGGTAACGATCGGGAATGGTTTTCGCGTTCAATCGCCGATAGTCACCAGTTGGACGCCAATCGTTGCTGTCCTTTTTAGGGACCATGTGCAACGGAGATGCATATGGGCTACTTGACGGTCGTATGATTCCTAAGTCCATCATGTGATCGAATTCGTTTTTCGCTAACCTTAGCTTTTCAGGAGCTAGTCGTCGTGCTTTGGAGAATACAGGTGGTCCTGTAGTCGTGATGTGATGTGTAACATTGCTGGTTACACACGGTAGTTTCGGTTGAGTTTGTTGTATCCCAGGGTACTTATCGAGTAGTGGTTGATAGAGTGGGTCTATCATATGTTTAACTGTGACTGGGGATACTCTACAACCAGTAAAAGAAGTTACGCAAACGGACAAATTAGTGTTTCCGTCTACTAGCCTCCGTTTGCGAGTGTCGATGATCAGATTGTGGTGTTGTAGAAGGTCCATACCAATGATTGGCATAGAAACATCTGCAACGACGAAAATCCAGTGGATGGGTTTGCGTAAACCCACGTTAAGGTAAACGTACCTTTTGCCATACGTAGCGATCGGTTTTCCGTTTGCCGCCTGTAAGTTTAGGGTCGATTCGTGAAGTCGGTCGTTAGGATTTGCTGGGAGAACGCTAACTTCTGCGCCAGTGTCGACGAGGTAGCGAACTCTCGTTGTCACATCTGTGACGAATAACAGACGGCTTGTTCGCCGGCTACGGTTGCCGTTAACGCGTGCCGGCTTGGAAGTTTCCCGAATTGTTTTTCGAATCAGTCGGTTTCGTGTTGGGAAAATTGCAGGGTTTTCTGCAATTTCTGGAAAACTTTCCATACTGGTTATGATACCAGCACCAGTCGGGGTTATCTGTCTCTCGTGGTCTAGAGACAGATCGCTTACGAGAAATGCTTCTACGTGGTGTGCGCGATCTCTTACGGTCGGTACGAAGACTAAGATAACGCGTGAGTGTGTGACATAAGTCGGTTATATCATTCTGAGTCGTGTGAGGTTTTTCTTTGACTGAAAATACCTCGGTAGTAGGTTTCGTAATTTCTAGAATGCGGTCGGCAGATGCAGCTAGCTCGTCTAAGGCGTTGTTCTGGAACGAGACCAGAACTGCTTGCACCTGTTGGGGAAGTTTTGACAAGAAGAGTTGTTTGAATAGACCTTCGTCGAAAGTTCTTGGGCCTATAACCTCTCTCATCCGTTGCAACATGTCTGTCGCAGAACCGTGTTGCAGGTCGATGTTATTGAAGAGTTGATCTAACCTTTGTCGATCGGTTAGGTCTCCTCGTTTAAGAATCGAGCGTTTTAAGATTTCGTAAGGATCGGAAACATCACTAGTAAACATACTAGGTGTTACGTACCTGTTGAATTCGCGCGGTAGTGCCTTGACTACTGCGAGGAATTGTGCACGTGTGTCGATCACGCCGTGCTCGGAGAAGTCGGCTTCTGCGTAGCAAAACCAGGCTTCGATGTTGTCGGGCCAGAAAGGCATCAGTTGAAACGAAGGTGGGGACAAGGTCTTAAGCTTGAGTACTTTAGGTGTCTGTTCAGTCATGATGAAATATGAAGTACGATAATGAACGAGGGGAAAATATATATATATCCAAGAAAAAACACGAAAAAAAATCACAATGTTTAAAAAAAATAAAAAATAAGGCAATGATATATAAAAATCCCAAAAAGGAACAGACTCACAGTTGCAATAAGGTTTTTCGTTCCCACCAAGAGAAATCAAAAGACAGAGTCGAGGAGATCGGAAGAGTATATTTGGCGATGACCAATATATCGGAATTCTCTGATCTAATCTGGATAGCGATTGCGGTTGATGTTGAGCACGGCGTTACCACACGTGATCTGGTGCGGATGCCTGACCGAGCGCCTTCAGCTAGATGAGTCCACTAAAACATATGGTCAGCATCCAATGTCGAAAACTTACAGGGCTATTTATTTTGGGGATTTATTTACCGCTACACTTGTATCACGAGAACACGACTGATTTAATGAAAACAATTATTATTATAACCAGCTGTACCAGTGCTTGTTTTAATGTGCTTTTGTCTAACTGTGCATCCACTATTCTTACACATTGATTGTGACCTCGCGCGAATTCGGTTACGCTCTGGAACCAAGCTTGTATCCTGGCACGATCTCGGCATTCTTTCGATACCACGAGATCGCCAGCAAATATATCTCGACTTGGTCCATTAACTGCCTTCTGATATTTGACTTCCGGGGGATTTTATGGATTTATTTGGCACGTATTTCTCCGTAGCGGTGTTCATAGTCTATCTCGACTCGACGCCACGCTACAAGTCTACGGATCTCGTATGTTTTGCTGATTTAATTGCATTATACATGAGTTACGCACGTGAAGTTTTCGCCTCAGAACTTTCCACTTAACGAATACATTCTTCCATTCATGACGTTCATAACAAAATATCACACAATTATTTGGTCTAAAGATTTATTACAGGTGTAGAATGGATGTTATATTAACGCTGGTAAGTAACACAAGATAAGTGTTGATAACCGTTCAAGAGACTATTAGAGATGTCACTTCATATAACAGTTGACAGGGAACCTGAACAAAACACAATTAGGAGTTGAGTAGACAGAAAGTATTTCTGTGTACATATGTATATGAAAATCTCTTATCCATCCACCCGAATAGCGAAGTTTCTATGTTTACTTCTGCAAGCAATCATTCTGTCTCCTAATAAATTACGTCCATATTTTGGATCCGTTTTTGATTATTATGTTATAATAACTTTTACGGATTCTGAAATTAACAAACTTCTTAGGTTTGTGGAGTCCTTTGACAGCTACTTCATCTCTGCTTTACTAAACAATTCGTTTGAGCGATTACCATACCAAATAATAGTCATTCGATTGTTGCTAAATGAACTGATTTCTGTAATTTATAACTGAAACTGGAACACTTTCCTTTTTTAGGAGGGTTCACAGTTAATAACCGGTAATTTTATGCGAAATCCTTGCTTTTTTAATATGTTTCTCATTTTCTAATTTATCGCTCATGTTTAAAGCAATCTGAATTTACATATTTCTTCCCTTAGTGCAGAATTATATTACTGGCTCACAGGAATATTTTTCGTATTTTGACGATTGGGTTTTTATGAGTGTTGTTTTAACTGGTTTTTTCTTTGTTGGAGAAATGATTGTTTATGTATACTAGTTTTGTTTGTATTAACACATCTTCTAATACCACCTGTTGTTTACCTACCTGCATGGTATTACAGGGCAATTGCTAGTCATTTTATCAATTTTGATCTATTTAAACTCGGAAGCAAGTCACTGATTCAATTAACAGGACAGATATACCGGATCTTACACTTGCCTCCAGTTAATTCCCAGACTACTGTCATTCAAAACCCCTGAAAGAAACCTATAAAACTCAGCAACTTTTAGTTGTTTTGATGTGCAGAAGTGAAGCTGACACTTACAGCATGAAAGAATATGGAAAAATACCTGAAGACAATCTTTCAAAAGAACGGATACCCAATCATCGAAATCACCCACCTGAGCTATAAATCCTCTTCACTACCTCATTATGGGTTGTAAACGGTAACTAGGTTCAACAGAGTTTGAGGAATTTAATTGTTTTTCGAAAATTTGTTTTATCAATTACCGAAAAGACTGACACAACCCTTTCCTGTATTACCGCATCTAACGTGGTAGATAAGCCTTTATGTATAGAGAATATTTTTGTCTGGTTACTTTAATGACATCACTAATCTGATTTCTCCGTTCTTGATGTCATTTCTTACAGGAAATTTTTGATACTACCATCCACTATTTTCTTATAACATTGGTTAGTAATTCGCAATCAGGGTTTAAGAATTATCTTTTTCTGGTGAAGTTCCTTTGATCGATATAAACTGATTTCCCAGTATCAGTATTCTCTACTCTAGTAGTTATTGCATCAAGCGTCTGTAAATAATGTTAATCATTTTCAGAATGCCTTGGGTTTCTCGTTATTTCTGTTGTTGTACGCACTAAAGGTAATTTCAATACAACTGGAGGTCATCAACCATTTCCACATTATACTAAATATATGACCTAATTTTAGTAGTTATCCACTGGAAACACTGTTTTGTTTGAGAAATATTGAGAATCTATAATACAACTCTGTTGCTTGAAATAGCCTTTTAAACTATATTGATAAGATATTTATTAATTTTAAAGCACAAAATTCTACTTGAAAGAGATGAAGTGATCTCATAGTTGTGTGAAGTCTATGTATGACAAGTATGCAGGGAATGTGCAAGGAAAAAAAATATTATCGGTAAAATATGACAGAAATTACTTAACCAGATCATCTGTTCTATTGACATCAGTTTCATAATATATGTATGAACCAAGTTTACTGCAAGAATGATTTCAATTGTTCTTGAACTTGCTTTTTGATAACTTCGTCATCACATAAAGCTAGTTTTGATTGTACACAAATAATATACTTCATTTTACATTCTGCATCTTCTTTGCATTCCTTTAGTTTATCTTGGATATCTTTTGTTTCTTGGGTAAGAATGACATTGAAATCCAAGTAAAAATAATGTAAATAAGTTGCAAAAAATTAAAACTAAACATTATCTCTACCGAGTCTGACATTTAGTTTATCAGAGTTACTGATCATATAGTTAGATTATACACATGAGTAGTGAAAGCTAGGTGTACAGAATCACGTCTTTATCTTGAAGTGATCCGTTTTTCTATACATATAAAACGTAAGTCCACTAGTTATGGAGATATTTACAAAATGATAAGTATATATATATATATATATATATATATATACCCCATTTTTGGTTGGTATGATAGTTTCTACATATTTGCGTTTTTATAACCAGTCTAGGGAAATCTTCTACAGTAAACTGATTTACATTTCTAGTTACCTACGGGTTCATACACATAAATAGCTGTGTGGAAAGTAAATAACCAAACGAAAAAATAATTGTAGATTGTATTAACAACAACTTGCCATAAGTAATAATTTATCAAGGTAAATCTTTAGTATATCCAATTATTCTTCATTCTTCATAACTCAACAAGGGGAAATAAGTGGTAACCAAGGGATACTCCCTGAAAGGTTACACTGCACAGAACAGCAAATTGACAGACTTCGAACTGGTCAAAATAACTTTATCTTTGCGATAGCTTTCTTGGTTTAAATTCATAGATTACGCGCTTAAACTTAATTCTAAGGTTCAAAGTGTACAATTAGTATTTTTGGTATACTCAGTTAATAAGATCTTGAAAAAACAAAGGTAGAGAATATACCTTGTTGAATGAATTATTTTATAAACGAACTTACGATCTCGGAATTTTTCCATCATACAGTTGGGAAGATCAATCAACATTTGTACACATTTATCAAAGTCTGTTGCCACAGTAAGAGAATGATATAAAATCATTGATAAAATTAGAATAAATCTTAACATTCTTCCTTGAATCGCAACCCGTAAGGTCGAAATAGATAAAAACAAAAAGTTTATCCTTCACTACTTTTTAAATGAGAGCTATAACCAATCAGAAATACATCGTTGAAATAGACAAATCACAGAATAGTTGAGGTCAAATCATAAAATGGCTAAAACTTTAACAGTCTCATTAAAGGAAATGATGATTACTTACACCCTAAAAGTCGTCTTATAATCGAAATACTAAGCATTTGAGAATTGATAGTAAATGATAGGTTCCATTAATCCTTGTGCCATCAATAATACTAGTAAAAATGCAGGATCTCACTGACATTAATACACGTTTATTGTTTTCAGTTGTAAGGAGTTAGTAGATAGTCAGTGATTTGGTAAAAGCCCCAGCTAACTGAATAGAAATATGAAGTCTGTAACATATGGAGCGTAAGTAGATAAACTACAATCCTACACAAAAGCTATCTTTATATATGCTTTAATCATCACTCCAGATAAGAGTTTCGTCTTTCTTTTGTCTTGGATTTTCTCAGTTATTTTGCTTTGAATTTACCTAGTTGAAGTGTATCGATAATTTGTTTCGATTTGATAATTCCGCGTTTCGAACATAATGAACTGTGAATAAAACGAATCCATTCGTATTAAAAAAATGCTTCTATTCCAGTCTAGAGGAAACTAATGAATTGTAACTGACATAATTTTGGCAGTATAAGTTGTTTTAGAGACCCAGTTGTTATATGGTAGATTAAAAGAAATAGGTTACCCTTATGTTATTTTGAACCCTGGGTTGGACATCAACCTCATTGTTGGGGTGATCCAAAAAACTTCTCGCAAAAAACAAGAAAGGCTCAGGAAACGCTAAGAAGCATTTTATCCAACCAGCGTTCACTTCAAGTTTAGCCAGAAACATCAAGAAATTGAAAAGGCAAATGTAGAGCTTCTGACTAGCTGATTACAATATTGCTACTACGTTTAGTAGCATCCCAGAAATTTCGGGAGACCCAAGGATACCTAGAATACTATAAAAACCCTATATTTTTTGTACTAAAACGAACCTTTGGAGTAAAAAGTGCTTCTTGCATATTTTTCGCCTTTTCTCTCGTGTTCAGGTAGCTGTGTAGTTCTAGCTTGGGGGTTACGAGAATAGCTTAGGAACCGAATATAGCGTTGAATTAGTAAGACTTATCACCTATGGTCTAGGCACATTCATCTGATGAGTCGCAAGTAAGATGGAACGCGAGTCCTGTATTCCATATTTAGCCACCATCCAACTCTGCCTAAACTACATGTGTCATAATTGGAATATCAAGGCAATCAGCACAGAATACAAGTATGCCAAGAGATAGATAAATTAGAGTACAAAACATTAATTGGAAAATTTAAAACACTATTAGAAATGTAATGTGTTTACAACTGATTGATCACTGAATAGTGACTAATGTTATGTATGTCAGGTCCTTCTCTAGTGTTGATCAATTCCTAACAGTCAAACTCCAATGTGGCAACTAACCTGAGTGAATTGATATTGCGTGGTTACTATTTTATCAGTAGAAGTACAATGATCATTAAAAATTCACTCTGTACTCAACTATCACAAGATGGTATAAACCACAACTAACAGATTTAACCATGAAGATCAAACAAAAATATCAATCGATAGTTTCTACCCTTCGCAAACAGGCTAATCAGTTATATAGTCTGGTTAATTCAACTTTGGCATTCAAACTGCTCAAATTACAAGTTTAAGTGTAATAATTCTTGTAATTGAGTCATATACTAGATTCATCTTGAATAATTTGTTCATAATTTCAGTTAATTACTAACATACAAAAGTTGCATTGATATTATAAGTAGCTTCATACGAACACGACAATATTAATCTGAATTAAATTAAAACTTAAACTATAATCGGAATGGGTTTTGTGGAGATTTTAGAAATTTCACTGATTGGAATCATGTATCAATCGAAGCTAGACCACCATGGAAAACCTGGAAGCACTGGACGGTCGTTCCACCCTAGTATGGGACTCCTCAGCAGTGCGCATCCACGATCCTGCAACCCGCGAGATCCGAACCCAGGATCTATCAGTCTCGCGCCAGGCGCTTAACCAACTAGACCACTGAGCCGGTCGGCATCCAACGGTGTTAATGTCTAACTTCAACAAACCACGAAGTTTCTCCACCGTATACCATTGTCTTCAGTGAGCTGATATCTCACAACAGACCTGGTTGAACTCCACTGGTAACAGCTTCTCACTAGAACCCCAGGAGTATCTCTTGAAGTCAGTCACTAATGAACAGATGATTATTATAGGAAGTCCTGAAATTGATTAGTATCTTGTTTGAATAGAATCATCAAAATCTGTATAGATAAACAATAATATACAGATCAGTGTTTAGATGATTGAATTCTCTTGACAACTATGTGAAAATATTTTAACTAGTTAAGGCAAATAACAAAACAAAACAAAATAAACAAAACAAATGTTAAGCATGCAATAATACTTTTGTTGTTTTTGTTGTATAAAATAAACAAACTTTACAATTATTAATTAAAATGACTAAATACATCGATAAATTTCACATATATGTCTTATATTATATGAAGCTAACCTCTAATGTTTCATTAAGGATAATACATTCAATTTAAGTGTTTAAATAGTCATTCAAATATAGATTTCCATGTAAATTTATAGTTTCATAGTAATGATAATAATATTTTCTCAAAGAGACTATTATTACCATTACTATTAATGATAATGATAATATTTATAACGATAATAATTATGATAAACATCATTGTAAATAATTCAAGTTGATAAACAAGATTGTACAGGACCATGATGAAATATCCTTCTGAAGATTTCGTTTCATACTACTTTTTTTTTCCAAATATTTTAAATCACGTTTACATGAAGAAATATGAAAGAAAAGCGAATTTCTACTTTTTTTTGGTTTTACACACAAATATTGAATGTTGACACTTTTGAAAATTATTTATTACCTAAAACATTATCGTTGAATTCTTTTGTTTAACCATGTTTTGTTTGTTTGTTTGCTTTTTTTTATAAAGAAAAAAGCGTTTATAACCTATAGAACAAGATTATGAAAGTTGTACTGGATTTTCTGTAACTGTAAAAGTTTCACCATCAATACATTTTGTTGTTATCATAGTATTACTAATGATATTATTGTTTAAGTGTTCATTTTCTCTAAATGATGACAATGTAGGTTGTACAAGAATAGATTTTGGAATAACAAGACCAGTATTTATTTGGTTATAATATGAAGATATTGTAGGAGTTTGTCTAGTTTGATAGTCATGATGTTCAGGTAATTCAATATTGATTCTTGTTGTCGGTAAAGAAGTTTTTGTTGATGTTATCGGTTGGTTATGTATTGGTTCTATTGGTGCAGCATAGAAATAACCAGTTAAGTATAAATTCCCTAGATTTTCGTTGTTATTCTCATTTTTGTTATCAGGTGTAATATTAATTAGATTAGTTTTACAATCACCTAAAACATTTGAATTTTGTTCAGCAAATGAATCAAATGTAAACTTTTCTTTCAGTAATGTTGAAGTTGTTGACGGGTTACTTGTCACTGAAGTTGGTGACGGTGTATTGGATAGTAAGTATACACTTGTCGATATATCATGACATGGGGTGTTTAAATGACATATTTTTGTTGACTTTCGACCAACTGATCTGTTAAATCTGGTATTAGTTGGTATAACATGAGTAGATGGTAGATATTCGTAACGTGTATCTGTTGGTGCTTGTGCTATAATACCTGATTTATTACACCAGATAGGTTCTTTTTCATCAATTAAACTCCATGAATGTTTACTTAACGGTTCGCTAGTAGTTAAACAAGTTGTTGACTTTCATAAGGTAGATGACCTTTACAATGAGTAGGAATAGTTTTCATATGATTTTTCTTTGTTAATTTAGCAATATCATCCACAACATATGACCAACGATGACATCTACATGACCAAAATAATATAACTGTTAATAAACTACCAGTTAATAATCCACATATTACTACAAGTATCAAATGTGTAAGAGTGTAACCGTCAGCTTGTGTAGTGTAATGAATTCTTGATTTATAGTAACTGGCTAGGTTATACAAAGAAAAACAAAATGATTAATTAATAAAAACTTTTAAGAGATTCAATAATGAACAGTCAATAAAAATTAATGAAAATTTCGTTATATTCCAGTCGTTTAGACAATTGAAATAATGACGTTAGATAAATTTTGGTTCATTTTGTAATATTATTTAAGAAGGATATTAAATTTTAAATAATATTTTTATTGGAATAACTTTGTTCATATCTCATCTTTAAATTCAGTTCATTCCCTGAATGAACACAGATCTAAATTTATTTCTTTCCAATTGAGAGCATCTCACAGATTTTGTTATAGACTAGCATTTGTTTCAGATATCATAACTAAATACGCGCTTCGATCATTATTATTATTATTATTATTATTATTATTATTATTATTATTATTATTATTCGATCATTATTGATACGATATACAATTCTCAGCACAAGTTATTTTAATAAGTTTCAGAAGAAGGGTGATGGAATAGAAATTTTAGGTGAATTTTACCCATTAAATTCATTTTGGTAATGTATATATTGAATTGTGTCCAAAGTTTGCCATCTTGCTTCAAATTTAAATTATATATACTTAAAAATTACAAAGATCCCATGTAAATTAAAATTCTCCGAATCTTTGATGGTAATAATAACGATACCCCCCTCATTTTGTCACTAAATGATACTTTGAAAACAAAATCAGTATATTACTTTCCGTGTCGGGTGTGAGGTAGTAATCCACTGAGGACAATGAAAGATGATCACGCAACGTCACGGATTGATTGAGGTTAGACATTGACATTGTTGGTCTAGAGGTTTAGGATTTACGTTTGAGATTCAGAGTCCTGGGTTTGATTCCTGTGTGTAGGATCGCGAATGCGCACTTATGAGGCGCCCCGTTCTATAAGATAACGA